GCGGTGGAGACGAGGCCCGCTATGGGTGGTCAAGGAAGCACTTGAGCAGTGTAAAACATTCTCAGTCAAGTTGAGCGAGAAAGCTTTACCTCAAAAATAAACTGAAATGGAATATACTGCACTTATTTTACTTTGCCTTAGATTTGCTTTCCATCCAACCAAACACCAAAAAATGAAAAAGTAATGCATTTACTTTACTTCGCATTTACTTTTCTTCCAACCAAACTGCCCCTTAATGAATCCTGACATCATTTATTTCTACAAGGGTATATGTCAAATTTATAGTAATATTTCGTTCACTTACTTTTCTTAGAATTGGATGAAGTTTTTCTTTCTTTCTTAATGCTCTCAATCAAAAAGAAAAGAAAACATTTTCCTTCTCTTTTTTCTTTTTCTCGGCTCCCAAGCAGAATGTAAGTCTACAAATCATAAAAATTTGAAGGCAGGAGATATTACCAGGTACTCCATTTAATGATCCATCAGGAACAGCAACTCTTGGAGTCAACGCCGGATTCATCTCAGGCTTGATATCCTGCTACAAACTTAGATCAGTATTTCAGGAACAAAAGTATCAAAATTATTTTAAGGTAAGCTACCTGCATTCCACCAGATTGTTGTTGGCTCCTAGCCTGCACCGGTTGTAAGGCCCCAGAGATAGCACTAGCAGAGCCCTGCAGAATTTGTCTACCCAAACAAAACAAGTATATAACTCTTCTCGTTGTGCAAATTAATAGCATACCTCCAATAACTATAAAAAATAGACAAGGCAAATAAATAAATAAAACATACTTGCAAGAAGTCCATAAATAAAAGTGTTTTAGGATAGCAAATAATATGAAATCCAGTAATTGGGGCTTCTGATGAAGAGCTCAATCAAGTGTCACAAGAAGTTCCTTCAGCTTCTTCTAACTAACATTTTCTGAAGGAAAAAAGACATCACTTCCATGCAAACACTAACAGCATTAGTTAATTACAATAATCTTAAGACTTGAATCAAACATAATCATCATTAGCCTAAAACCAACTATGAATCCTGTTCCACCATCCTATCCAGTTATATCTGATCCTACTAAGGTGTTGCATGTGATGTTAACTCTTATCTTGTGCAAATCTTTATGCGCAACTTCTAGAAATATTCAATCAAGCACTTTAGCAATGCAATCTCGATGAATGATTATGTTTTATAATTCCTTTGTCAAGAATTATGAGATTACTTAGAAGTTAGAAGGGCTCAAGCTCATCTTCATCATCAACAACATTAGCTTAAAGCCAAGAATCTGGAACACCCTTCCCTAATTCCATCTCACTCGCCCGTCAATGTTACCATCGTCCTGGCTAATGACAGCGCGAAGCATGGATTGGAATCTCCTCCACCATAGCATTCTCTTTAACATAGACAACCTAACATCGCATGAGTAGGTGTATTATTCTTTTTAGTGAGGAAGTGTTCAGAAAAGTGGAGATCGGACTTAATCCGACTTTCGATTCCCTTAGGAAAGAAAATTACCATGAATGTCAAATTTACCAATATTCACAGGATGAGTGGCTTCCCTAAGATCATCTCCAACCGAACTCCATACCACCGTATGTCGTCCGTCATTTGCTCCATTCGAACTCCAAATCGCACACCAAATTCTGGAAGGTGAACAGTCTGACGCCAATATTGGCTTCAGACGGTTCACTTACGCCAAAAAATTGGCTGGGGGTTTTACCGAAGAAACGAGCGAAAGTGGGAGAAAAGCGCGCCAAAGATGGTTACCTTTGCAGGAAGCGCGAGAAAGAAGAAGAAACAACGTTTGATTTGAGAAGAATAACTACATTTTGAAGTTTTACTGCATTTTGGAGTATAAAATGGATTTTTCCGTTGGAGATGCCCTAAGAACATGGAGGGATTTTTAAGAGTTCATTAAAATTATTTTATTGGATACACATGGCATTTCAGCACACCGTTAATCTTCAAAATGTCAATCAGTTTATCATTTATCATTTTTCATTGTTAAAAAATGGAAATTAAAAAATTATGTGCAATCTGATGCCCAATGTTAACAAGTACCAATCTTAGAAAGTTACACCATTAACTGCCGTGAACTGCATGCCAAATTGATGATACTATAAGCAACCAGGCAATTTGTTCTACCATATCTAGGCCTTATGGCCAGTTGTATAAACTCAAACACAGAATTCACTAAGAGCACAAAACCACATAATCATGGTGGGGTTCTATTAGGATAGAAAAGAAAGGGTTAAATTTAATAAGGCTCCATTTGGCATAACTTTCAGCTGTCTGATTCAACTTCCATGAACAGAAGCAATTAAATATGCCAAGAAAAATAGCTATAGGAAAAAATCTAGTTGTATGAAAGCTGACAAGCATTTTTCTTAGAATGATGATTTAAGTAGCTTTCTAGAATAATGTTCCATGTATTTTAGCTTTTGTCATCTAAACAATTAATGATTTATTATGTTAATCAATTATTTACAAATTAATATTAGGGAATTATGTTATAATTATATAAAATGTCAAGTAATATCCATTTAGAACATTCAAGGTGCGTCCCAGCTGCTGCTGTCGGTAAAGTAGGTTGTGAAATTATTGGCTGTATCTATGCAAATTCGACAATTAATCTCCGGCGAAGCTTTGTCCTCAAATGGCCAATCCCTTCACTTCCTGACCCCTGTTAACCCCTCGCGCTCTCTCGCCTCATCGCCTTTCCTACGACCATCGCTCCTACCCGTGAGACTCCGCCTCTTCCGCAGCTCCGCCGCCGCGCATACGCCACCATCAGACCTCAATCCATCACTGGTTCCGGTGATCCTCTCATCCACAAATGGCATCGGTGGTGTCTCTATCGCTGCGGCCGCATCGACGATTGACGTCGATGCGGTGACGGAGGCGGAGCTGAAGGAGAACGGGTTCCGAAGCACTCGCCGAACGAAGCTGGTATGCACGATCGGGCCATCTACATATAAAGCGGAGCAGATTGAAGCGCTTGCCGTCGGCAGGATGAATGTTGCGAGGGTCAACATGTGCCACGACACGCAGGATTGGCACCGACGGGTTATACGACAGGTGCGCCAGTTGAACGATGATTCTGGGAAGCCAGCCTCAATGATGTCGACACTGAGGCGGGAGAGCAGGCGAGTGACGGTAATCTTCTCGCTGATGGTCATGGTGGCGCCTGGAGATTGTTCGCCGTCGCAGAGAGTCGTGTCGAAGATGCGAACGTAGGCGGGATCGGTGATGAGGTTCGGTTTGTAATCCGGCGATAAATGTAAGGGCATTCATGTATTTCTCATACCTACGAATAGCGGGAAGCAGCCGAACGCAGGAGGCTTCCTCCGGACATAGAAAGCAACCGCGGGATGCAGAAATTTTCAGACCGAAGCATGACCGCGTAACTCCAAACCACCTCTAAGTTACGTTTCGTGCCGCACAGTAGGGAAAAAGCCGTCCCAAACGTACCCTCAATCAACTCATACCAATGCCGTACAGTTTTACCAAGAAACAACCTCAACTCTTGCCAAACCTATAAATCAATCTTAACATTATGCGATAACACATCACAACACAACATAGCAATGTCAACAAAGTCCAAGTTATCTACTTGCAACTGTTATTTAAGTATTTTGTGTTTTCAGAGAGGTTAGAATATATCCTTGCTACTTTACACCTTCATTGTAGTTAGTATGCGACTACATGTCCTTTGTCAAAATGGTCAAATTGGTCATCATAAATGAACATTTTTAGTATGCCAGCACCATTACCCGCCATGATGTGAAACATAATGCATGGAAACAAGAACTGCTTGGGGATTTTAATATAAGATTGATAAAGCTTTGCTAGTTATAGAATTAATGATTTCCCAAGTTAGGTTTTCATAATTATCAA